ATTGCATCATCACGTGAATTCATTTTACAGTTAATAAATTTGCATAAAATAAACCTATTTGCATTTTTTGTATCGTTATGTGAAATCGTTCTATTGTATTTGGTTCTAGATTCACGACATTCTTATAGTAGACGGTCCTTTCGTAAACCAGAAAAACTTCAAATTGTCAAGCCAATCAAAGGTTTGTACCACAATCATTTATGCCCATGCTATTGTTCAATTCAAGAAGAGAACAACTTAGTTTTGCCGATAGATTCGATGTTTGTATATTGACATTGCCGTTTTCTCACTAGGTTCCGTCACTTTACAACAATGGAAGAAGTTAGCCTCACCTTCAATGAAATTGGAGGAACAGAGACCTGGTGTTCACGTGAAAGGCGATGTACAAAAAGGMCGTCACGATGAAAAACCKTCAAAACAACATGGCGACATGAGCGATGAAGACGAMATTGARGAAGACGAACCTATTCAAATTAAAATGAGATCCAAGTCTAAGGATGAAGCCACTGCTCAAACCCCAAAKTCTTCCAAAGAAAATCCCCTTTCACTTGCCCTCGCCTCCCTAGTGCATGAAAAAGGTATCCAAGCTAGTCGCCGAGATTCTACCTCATCCAGCATTCTTGCACAGTTACTTAACTCTCCTTCAGCGACGACTGCAGGAAAAAACTCATCAGTTGGACGAGTGCTTGCCGATGTTCTTCAAAAAGCAAGCGAAGAGGCGTCKGCTAAAGAACCCAAAAGAGCTGCATCACTTCGTAACTTGGCGAATTATTTCAGCGAAAAAGAAAARGAAGGTAAAAACGAACCAGAAACGATCCYAGAGGATGACAGTCCACCTGTAAGTCCKCCTTCAGSTGATGCTTATAACCCTCTTCCTGGAGCTGGTCTCGCTGGGGCTGGTCTCGGAGGAGGCATCTTCTCGAGGATGCTCGTTGGTTCGTCAGGCATTGCTGCAAGCCTTCCCTCGGCAAGGCCTATTGCGACCATTGCTGGTTCTATTAGTACTACAACAACAACARCATCAAGTCCTTCGGGTCTGTTAAGTCAACCTGGTTTTGCGCGCACATCAAGTGGTACAAACCTCAAAGGCTTAGACGTTAGTGCTCTAAATACATCTGATAAACGACTAAGTTTAGATGCAACGAATTTAATAACCGCTAATTCGGACTTTCCTACCACAACCACCACAAGTCTTCCAACTTTGAGGAGAAGGGCAAGCAGCGGTGACTTGGAATCCATGAACTCATCAACCGACTTRACRGGAAGTATAAACAGCTTAGGACTGGGAACTAGATTGTATCGTAGCAACAGTAGYGGTAGCCTGAATGATTTAAGTCAAGGAACTGACTCACAAGCTGTCAATCCAGGGGGGTTCTTTGGACGTTTAACCAGAAGGCCTAGTCTAGGAAGTCTAACTGACCTAGTCCAAAAGTCTAATCTAGGTGCTATGTCTATTCCTCCCCCTGGACGAATGGAACGATCTTCGAGTATTGATACAAGTGTGGTAGCAAGGACGGGGCAGTCCCCACCTTCCCCCTCACAGTTTGACACTAATAGATCGTTTTTCCAAACCAAACCTGAGCCTTCCAAAGGCTTATTTTCCGGTTCTAAATTAAGTTCACTTGCTGGAGTTCGCTCAGGAATGTGGTCAAAAGGACCTTCCAGTTCATCTGAAACAACTCTTCCCMAGTCTTCTTCAAACAAATCCGAAGAACGCCTGGAGAAAATCAACAAAGCCTTCGCATTTGAGGACTTCGGTGGCATGGGGCTTATGTCATTCTTTGGAAGCAAGAAATCTGCTCAAAACTAATGACAATGGTTACATCTACATTGKCAAGTGAAAATTTTCATTTTATCAGAAAGCAATTAGAATCGAWTGAGATCACTCAAGTTAGGCTCTTTCTTTCTCGCTAAAATGCAAGTGTTCATTCTTTATTCTACAATGTTGTGGCATATACGTGTATGCCAAATAGACACTTTTGTAAATTTTCTTTAAATAATTATGCATAGCATGAATTGATATGACAAGGTTTTTTTTTATAAAATGCTAAAAATATGTGAAATAGGACGCAAACAAAACTAGAAATTACGGGACGTCAGATGGTTATTTCCGATCTTTTTGGCGATTTTCAGTTAGTAGAAATCACTGTTTCAAGGGTTTATCAATATTCATTTACGGACGAAAATGAACTACTTAATATATTTAAAAACAAGAAAGTTATTAATTACTTATACTGGGCAAAATCGACTGGTTTGCATTCATTGTATTCGTGAAATRTGCAGGAAAKCGCACAAAATYACACAAATTACAYRATAGAAAACAAATTCRCAYTATTTACTTTCYCGGTATGATGAATGCATTCTAGTKCCGCGATTGAACTTATTCGCTGTCTTACTCAATTATTTTGGGAATTTYAAAAGGGTTTACTCAAAATTAAAATATATTTTCCAAAAAATTAAAACATTTTGCGTACCGAAAAGGGTTTCTTYAAATTACCTAGCGCACACTATTTATTTTTCTTAGAAATAATGTTTATTTGATTACCATAAGCAAATTTATTTTCTTAAAAGTAAGGTTGAAGTGGTCTATTTTGCGTACAAAAGTTTAAGTTAAAAACTTTAACAGCGCCAAAAGATTTGTACTATTTGTAAAATATAAATGGTTACCAGAAAGTTGTTAATATTGCAATTGTGTTTATAGTGAATTCAAAATAAAAAAGAACTATCGTTTGTCAGTTTAATGTTATTTTTTTCTGACCGGGTTTTTTAAGGCGCCCAAGTTGGGGTACTTTCCATTTAATCAATAGAAAGAAGTGACCGTCCAGACCAGTTATCAGTAATTTTCCTGATTTTTCCTTGGACTAATAGGTAAATTAAAGTCGCTCTTTAATAGAGCGCATGTTATTACTCCAAAACTCGACGAGGCGTATGCCATAAGGCATTCGTTCTCTTCCGCTATGATGTCGATAGTGAAATGATCAAACCGAGTCGCGTATAAAGAATACTAATAAGGGTGACCTTTATCAGATATAAATTTCCATGAACCTAGCAAAAGTCTCAGGTTTGATACCTGATCATTGACCAATGCAGGATGTCAACCGATTGTAGTAAACAGCTAACAGCGTTTCTATTTTATTTCATACGTATTCAATGTGGGATGACAAGAGTGCTTTGTAAAGTGATTAGCGGACGATCAGCTTGCCCCATTTATCTCAAAACTTATTTTTAAAGCAATTTCTTCAGGAATTTTAACGGATTTGAGTTTTTTAATTTAAAAATTAGTGTTGGAGTTTTTGAAGCCGTTTAAAACACTCGAGATCGTGTTTATCAGGTATACCTGGTAAAACACTCTCTCTGTTTTAAACTATACATGAATACTATAGACACAAAATAGTGATTGACACCAATAAAAGCGAGTCCATATGCATATCTGKTGGCGGGAGATTTATGAGACCAGTGGAAGTCGATATCAATCTGCTAAATAGGCCGTTTGCATTATGACGTAACTTTATTACAACTACCAGAGAGCCTTGCGCATTTTCATTGTTATTCAGATTTTTAACCCCCATAAAACAATTGGTACTAATTGCATTACAAAAGAAAGTTGGCAAAGCATTCTGGTAGTTGTAGTAAATAACGCCATAATGCATATTGCTCAATTTGTATTAAACTAAATGCTGCGCTCGCAAATAGGCTGGATAAGATTATAGGAGTATAATTTCAGTCGTTACCATTGATGTAATAAGTTATGAATCACAACGACTATTGTCTGCGTAAAATATAAAGACAAAATTATAATTATAGAAATTTTAGTCTCTATAAATTGTTGCTGAGAAGTATAGGCTTCCCAACTATTGCTTGAGAACGAATTTCTTATCGGCGTGCACTATGTATTTGTGGATTATCTGTGGCAACGTCACGATCCCGCGAGGCACGGGATCATGACGTATTGCCAGAGGTAATCCGCATTTCACTAGGAGCACCCATCGATAAATTAAATATTGCGGAGATCGTTCTTGTCTTCTCACAAGAAATAGTTGGGCCGCCTAAGTTTAGTCACGTAGACCGTACACTAAATTACATAAAAAGGTCGACTATTACGGGTATCAGAATCCGATTCATACAATTTAACTGGCAAGAACGATACCTACAGAACACCTGTTTTCCCGGTTTTGTTAACAGTATGTTTTGCTGTCAAGATTGACAGAATTAATGAATTATTAATTAGCAAATTGAGAGTAAGAGTAGCATGGTGAAAACAAGGTATATTTATGTATATAGTTCTTATAAAGAACAGCAATGACACTTCTTAAGAAATGTCTCTTAAGGCTATTAGTATTCTTTGCTTATGGCTTAATCGGAAGCTGGCTTTTCACGCTAATAGAACGAAGAAATGAAACGAACGCTACAACCGCTAACAGGTAATTTGAATTGTTGCATTTTATCCTTGAATGTTCAAAAAAAATGTAAATGAAATATAAATCATGATACAGCCTCATTAATCTATCCATGTTTGTGCAATATTCTTTTTATTTGATCGTTGCCTAGCAAATGTAAATGTCGTTGCTTTAGTTCTGATGCGTCGGTTAAGATAAGAATTATAATATTAAAATAGGAGCTATTGAATGATATACATGCATCCTTTCCTACTTTAATAACCGAAGTGGAACTTTTCGCATTATTKCTCGCACGCCAATATAATATCAATTAGAGCTACTAGTTCTGTCCCTTAAACGATTAAAATTTCGCGGAAGAAAATTGATGCATTCTCCCGCGCTTTGTCGCGAGTTTTTTAATGGGAGCTTTGTATATGATAACAAATGCTAGATTTCCAAAATATGCCCTGCATTTTACGATAACATCAATAACTTTTTAAATTTTTCTTTATCTTAGTGTCTAATGATCAGTATTTTGACCTCAAAATGTTTCTTTCCAGAGCGCTCGAAAGATTAAAAAAATCAATAGGAGAAAAATACAACTTAACAAACATAACTGAGCAGGATTTCAACGAGTTTGTCGARGCTGCTTATAACGCGATCCGAATACGAAAGCAAAAAGATTGGACGTTCAMGAATGGTTTAGGATTCACGTTTCCTGCACTTACAACTATTGGTACGTAAGGGACACTTAAACGTATCTAAGTCAAACAGGGGAATTCTATTATAGTGGCAGATATCGACACAGCATGGATTGGTATGATGAAATGGCTTGGTACTCGAAAATTATATTGATAAATTGTGACAAACGTCTAAATAGCGATATTATAAAGTAATGACATTATATAGTGAAAATAATATAGAGAATATTTTGTATAAATCTTTACGGGAATATCATATCATGGCAAAAAATATATATGTAGCCAGATTCCTTCAACTTCACATGAATTGTTAAGACTTTTATGGATCGATACAAGCGTCAGTATGGATTGCCTAATTTCTCCCCAACGGCGAGAAAAGGCCTTATGGAACCTATATATTTAGTATCGAATTTACTAAAACTTTATGGCGCTTATTTAAATAATCGTTTCTCTTCACAATTATCATTTAATTTTTATCAAAGACAATAGTTTGTTTCGGCAGGGGTGATGTTGTCTTAGTGAAAACAGACAACTTGTATATCATTTCATAACGACATATSTCCCTGTTTTATAAGGTTTTGGTGAGATAACACCGAAGACAGCTCTTGGCCAAGGTTTTACCATTCCCTACTGTTTGGTCGGTCTTCCACTAACAATGCTGGCTCTAAAGACTTCAGGAGAAGTTATTCTTCTGGCTTTGCGAACGACAACGACAAACTTCGAGAAGAATGTTCTCGGACGTCGAAATCCCAAAATAGGTTTTATGGAAATGTTCTGGATATTGATCTTTCTGCAAAGTCTTTTAATTTGCATGTTTGCCGTTATAGAGATTTACGCATTCAATTGGACTTTCCTSGAAGGAGTKTACTGYTGGTTTATTACGTTCACGACTATCGGTTTCGGAGATTACGTCCCTTTTACAAACCAATTGGGAGAGACAATGAAACCTGAGTGGCTTATTCCTTTAATAGGATTCATCGTGACAATTCCATCCATCGCTGGTCTCTGTCTGATTAGTTCATTGCTAAATCTGCTTGTTGAAAGCTCAGAGAAGATAAAGATGCGACGTCGMACGCTGCGCACTTGTTCCGCATGTAMAGAGAATACTAATAAYGACAGTGATGATACAAGTACTGACCACAATGGCCTTGCGGAAGAGAAAAGTATTTCGACCCTCAAAGATTGTAATATCGTAACATCTGTCACATCACTTTGAGTTTGGACAATTGAAATAATGAAGCTGTGCGGCAGTTTAAACGTAAAGAAAATTGCAGCAGTAATTACAAGCGATAATGATTACAATGAAATGCAGATAAACCAACCTCCCCCGCGATGAATTTTAACTACTTAAGAGTTCTCTGTAATACGAAACTGTGGAATAATCATTGTCCATCTGTATACAGGGTATTGCTTTCAAAGCCCTTCTAGTCAAGTGCCCCTGCAACTTTAGAAAGTTATTTCTCCACTCAGGGAATAAAAACAATCCTCTTTAGATTTGACTTCTGCACAGGGTTCCAGCGATTATTGATAGCTTATTCTATAACCTCAGTCCCAGCCACCTTTCTTCCGTCCTGTGTAATACTTGTTAAACTGTCAGTTACAAGATATTCCAAGATCAATCCTGTTTTTTATTGTAAACATCCGTAAAAGGGTTTTTGAATATACGATAATTACTGCCAAAATTGACATGCTTGTGAATTATTAATGAGCAGATAATTAAAGGCATCTTAGTACGATGAAGTTGCGCGAAATTGAGAGGGAAATAGTTAAGCGATGAAAACACTCCTCAGAAAATGCTTGTGGCGACTCTTCTTGTTTTTCGCCTATGGTCTTTTCGGAGGCGGGATCTTTCTCCTAATCGAAAGAAGATCCGAGAATAATGCCACAACGGCTAACAGGTAATTCKAAACAATGGACTGAAATAGTGTATGCTAGAATGTTATTGCGTAAAAATTATGGATRTAGAATTCACAAGAAACGATGGTTTTTTTTCGTTGACTGTAGATATTTTATTAACTGTCATCTAACACAGTCCAAATCGTGTTTTTTTACGCGAGACTTCCTCAGTAGCTTTCTCTGGCAGACATCCCTTATAAAATCAATATAACAGTATCCAAATAATTATGATAAATAACGTGCCTTCCTCAGTAAATAAAGAGGAAATCGGTTATAAAATAGCTATCGCCAATAGTTCCTTTGCAATGAACTGGGAAAGGTGTTTGATCGAGTTCATAACGAGAATAATTTCAAATTTCGGCCGCGCTTTCGCAGCTATCCAGCTGCATCGATGCCACAAGGTTACTCGATTGATTAGATGTGAAAAACAAGAAGATAAAATTTATTTCATTTTTTGAAGAATCGAAATTATCTTAGAAACTACCTCACACCAAAAACGTTTGTCCAGGAGATCTGCCCATTTCGCTTGATACATGCGCCCAAATATTTCCGTGTGTATATTTAAATGTTGATACAGATTTTTCAAAGTGTCATAATTTCAATAACGATTTTCTTTTCAATTCAATATCGCCGACTCGAACTATTAAATATTGTGTAAACATGCATGTCCAATGCCGAATATGTGTTTACAATTATCACATTTTAATGTCCGTGTTTTCTTCAGCAATAAATTACATTTTTTCATATTTTCAACAAAATTAAAACTGTTTACATTAATATGTATGTATATATGTTGCAGATTGAATTGATGATAATATTTGCGGTCACGACAAAACATGAATTTTAGGATTAACCTATTTAAGTGAGAATCTCGCTCATTCTTTGCATTTTCATTCTTCTGAGTGGCACAAGTTATGTAACCATTCCGCCATATAGCCTCGGTTATACCTCAATTTCGTACATTGCTCATCAATTTACTCGGAGTACACCTATTCATCAGAKCAAAACCTAGAAAGCTGATCAAAGAAGCAGCAAGTATGAAGAAGGTTTTGTATTACAACGAGTTGTTGCGAGATCAAATTCGAACCTGAAAGATCATCCATAAAAAAAAAAACAAAAAAAGTTGTGTAGAAAAAGCAAGTTGTATGCTGACAAAAACTAGATCTTTGTAGGACTTTTATTTGCTCCATGTACGCGATAAAAATGACTAACAAGAGATTTTGACATTTTAGAAGTAATCATTGTTGCTCCATTGCAATATTTCCCTTTGCAATATTTCATTTGAGTGTATCATGCGCGTTTTCCACGCCAAGGCTCTATCCAAAATTTCCAGCTTTATCGCTTGCTCTTTCCTAATTCAGCATATGATACTTCCAATACATCATATAATGCAGCTTGTCTCTGCACCAACTCCATTCATCTGCCATCTGAGCGTTGTGACCTTGCTATGTCCAATCACAGATGGCAAAACGTTTTCCGAGAGTTTTATCAAAGTAACGCTTTCATTTTAATGTGACTTGCTAAAGTGACAATTAAAGAAAAGYACAATTTGACAATCAGTTCTTATTTTCCAATGACTTGTTTTTTTAGATTACTAGCGATTCTAAAAGCAAAGATGAAAGAAAAATACAATTTGACAAATGTGACTGAATGGGATCTCAACCAGTTCGTCGAGGCTGCTCATAACGTGATCCAAACACGAAAACAAAAAGACTGGACATTCAACAATGGTTGCGAATTTGCGTTTGCTGCTCTTACAACAATTGGTGAGAAATATCTATAGTTGYACAACTTATAACACTACRTATCCATCAAGTTTACACAACGGCTTAGAACACTTATGCATGACATTCAAGGCACTTCTAAAGGTCTGAAAAGATTCTGCTCCAAGCTGTTCATTCTCCAAAATGGCCACCGTTTGTTATACCCAAAAAATAAGGAACAATGTTTGAGCAGTMGAGGTTTTGTGGCTATACAAAAGCAACATGAAGCAGAGATATCAAGCACTTTTATCTGTTTTTATGCAGGTTATGGTGAGATAACACCCAAAACAGCTCTTGGCCAAGGTCTTACAATACCCTACTGTTTGGTTGGTCTGCCGCTAACAATGCTGGCTTTAAAGACATCAGGCGAGGTTATTCTCCTCGCTCTACGCTCTGCAATGTGTAACTTTGAGAAGAAAGTTCTCGGACGTCAAAATCCACGAATTGGCTTTGTGAAATTATTTTGGACGATAATCATTTGCCAAGCTCTAATAATCTGYATGTTTGCCCTTCTTGAGACCTACATCGACGGCTGGACYTTCCTGGAAGGAGTGTACTGCTGGTTTATCACATTCACGACWATCGGTTTTGGAGATTACGTTCCTTTTAGTAAATTTTTAAAGAGAGCAAATTACGACGAGTGGTTGATYCAACTTGTCGGATGGTTTGTTACCTTTCCATATATTGTTGGACTAGTTTTGGTTGCTTCCCTGCTAAATCTGCTCGTTGAAAGCTCCGAGAATATAAAAATGCGATGTGCCACGTTGCGGAATTGCTGTGTATGTACGTGTATTGCAAGTAATGGCATTGATGCAGGTGACGATGAAAATGGCGGTATAAAGATAATTTCCATGGAAACGAATGCAAAATGCAGTAAYAATGGGGGCACAAACACCATCGACCAAGAAAATGCAAATGARCTGGTCATTTCCAACGATATGAACCAAAAAAACCATAACGGTGACGTAAATACAAGCAAAGGCATTTCCAACGGCGTTGAGAATTAATTGTAATCCATATAGAAATAAAGAAATTGCAATCACTATACCCGGCCCGGAAGTTGAAGCTCCAATTTACACTAAAGTGTACTTGTATAGAAAATAATATTGCAATGCACAGCGAGAAGASTGATAATATCAATGCTTATGAAACTAATAATTTCAGCAAACATTACTACAAGAAGACAATCAACACAACATCGGCGATGTTAACAAAACGACGACGAAACAGCCATTACTGACATTACTGTGTCCACTATTACAGCAACTTAGTGTTTGCAAAAAAACTATTCAATCTCAACATTGTTTTTTTATGGAATTCACTAGTAATAACTAAAGTTCACCTTCAGTTCAAATACAGATATGGCAAATGTTTAACATCTAGCCGTCTAAGAGAATTTGAGGGTTTTTTTATTTCACCAATTGTTATTGCAATTTGATTCATAATAAATATCATATCATACGGAATCGTTTCTGTTAGTTCCCTCAAACCCAAAATTCGGATACACTACCGCTTCACTCACCGATAAATAACAAGCAGCGTCCGATAGATAAAGCCTCAGGGCATCCTTAACTCTAGCTAAAAGACAAATATAAATGTTTAGTTCTCATACAGTAACAGCATAAAAACATAGTTAATAGAGAGGACTGATCTCTATTAACTATGATAAAAACCATAAAGAAAGTAAACTTAGAATCATAAACTGAATGCACACGATTTGTCAACTTACGTTGGAAATCAGAACTCCGCCGGTGCCGAAACCACTCGATTTCTGCTTCAATCATATTCTTTGAAACACAGTCTAATCGAAAATAAAGTAAAAATGTTTTTAACAAGACGACATTGACCTAATTCCCTAAATAAATCAGGAAAATAAGGAAATAAAAGCAACTTACCAAACGCTTTGACCTCGCTGACATGAGTTACACGTGCAATAAAGAGGTGTGAACTTTTTGCGTGTTTTTCTCGTGTTTTGCTGTGAGGTAACCGCAGATTTTGTAGCGCTGGCTCATAAAATTGTATACCGGTATTATACTAAGGCAAAATGACATTTTTTCTAGCGAACATAAAACTCTAAGAGAGAGTTAAACTCTTAGAGAGGCATGAATCTTACTTAGATTGCTTATTGTTACCAAAGGCTTCACTATAAAAACAATTCTGKTTTTGTGTGTGAATTTTAGTTTTTACTCGTTCTTACAGTTCATTGTCTGTACCCTGAAGGGAAGCTATTCAAAKAAAGTTAAGACCAATCGCTCAACGCTAAAGATAAAACACCATTAATGCAACATTGAAGTGTATAACGGTTTCGATCACCTGTTAAATGAGGCTCCCTGAGTGATGGGATTCCTGTGTAATTGAGAGAGTTCCAACATGGCGYTTGTTATGACACGATAGGAGATACCATGAAAAACATCTTGGACAAGCGTTTAGGTACACATTACCGAATGATGATTCTCAAAACGATTTAGTGTCAATGAGTTAACGATTGACTAATTATCAAGSGCTCTTTTTTCTGTCAAAACTAAGAAAACGATGAAAGCGCTTCTCAAGAAATGCTTATTGCGATTAACTTTATTTCTTGTCTACGGATTGATTGGAAGTTGGATCTTTACTCTAATCGAAGAAAGAAACGAGASTAATGCCGTTACTGCTAAAAGGTAAACAATTTAAAACAAAAGATGCATGTTGTAATGCTAAAATATTACGGAAGTAATAAGACATAATTTCAAAAATTTTAAACTAAAACAGGTTGGCATGGATGTAATCGATTCTWAGACGCGGTTAATGAAAGCAAGTCCCTGAGCTCATGAAACAGAAAACGTTCATTAAAATTCAGTTATATAATTTTTTTTTGCTACTAAGTTTTAACGTTATAACAGAGCAAAACAAACCGGTCATTTAAACGACAATGATAAATTCACGCCAAGTATTGAAGAAGGTGACTTTGGAAATAGGTTCGTGATCACCTGTACCTTCAGTCACACGATATCAAAAAGATGGATTAAATGTTGAAGTTATCACTAATGTTATCATACTTTAAAATCCTGAATATCCTTTAATATATACCGTTAATTAGAAAAGGTTTCAGTGTGGACTGACTTAACTTCGCAGTCTCAGACTCATTGTATATTTGCTCGTTGTTTTTAACTGTCAAATACTCGGCATGTTATTGTTTACATTGAAGAAAAATTGTTTTAAAAGTGTAGTCAGACAATTGTCACAATTACTTGCTTAACAAAGTAAAAACATGACATTGTATTAAGGTTTTTTCRTAGTAAATAAGTTTATATCTCGGCCTACAAAGGAGTATTTTGAAATTAAGACACTGAAAGTAGAACCGCTCACGCACGAGTCCAATTTTGGCAAAATGTCGTGCGTCTGTGAGACGCGAATTTGTGTCATATAGATGTCTAGTGATACATTGGACGAAAAGCAATTGACACTTCGAGTTTCTACTTCTTACTGTAAAAATTAAAGCTTATAGCTATGCATATTTGCATATAAAAAMCCCTGAATATATATAATATATGACYTGGRAAGTCTTAAATATTCGTACATTTAAATCTGATGATAGAACGAATGATACAAGGAAAACGAAACCTAGTTTTCTCTTTTCTAGTCAATCTTTTATCCAAGGTAAACGGATCATTATTTTTTTGGTGAACATTTCCATATCATATAGTTTGCAAACATTAACGTCACCYAAAGCCTCATTCTTAATAATTTAATGTCGAAATGACTTCTGTTTGTAGTTGCTTAGCTACCATGAAATAACTGAGGTATTTTGCCATTTCCKATTTGCATCATGGAAATGTAGATATCTTTAATTGTATTAACTTCATCAGACTTCATCAAACGCTCAGCAGACATCACCATTAAAGTATGAAATTCGTGTTCCGGTTTTTTTCCCATCTCGTATAGATTAAATTAATAATAAGTTTATCTGCAGGGTTCCATGTTAACAAGGGTAATATATTGTAATTTTCATTCACAACCTGCTGAGTCTCTGATTGGTTCAAAATTCAAGCTCAAAYTACGAYTCKYACKCACGAATGAGAAGTTTAAACAAAAGATTAGAATTTRCAATGAGGTGCCCAGCCCTTATTATTATAGCCGGAAGKCCAACAGAATTRAATTGCTTTTAAGGAGACTCACACATCCGTCGTCGTCTTGAGATTAGCCGTCGTTTATAATAGACCCGAGCTTTTGAAATAAAGACTTGTAATTATTGAATAATAATAATGATATTCCTCTACATGAGGAATTAATGGCGAAGACACTGTACGATTTAGGGTTTCCAGCTCTTTTTCTGATCTGATGTGTATCATAGAAACAGGTTCTTTGATAGAAACTTGTATTTTATTTTTATATACTTACGAATCAGCAAGATCAGTGCCATGCTGTTTTCATATTGTAATGTAGATTACTTTCTAGGAGCTGAGCGGGCACCCAATGAAAACAGCAGCGGACTAGCAGCAAATGCGAAGAAAAATATCTGGCTTAACCTACATTTTTAGTTTTACGTACTGCAACAACTTTTAGCATCAAAAGTATTCTAATCGCCAGATAGTTTGGCGGAATGGTCTTCTCCTTCCGCATGACTAATTTGCATTACAAAAACGACAGCATGATAGTCAATACAACATGATTTTCGCTTCATATTTTCCTACGATTTGTCTTAATTTTTAGATCACTGACGAATCTAAAAACAACAATGAAAGAAAAGTACAATCTGACAAACATGACTGAGCAGGATTTCACCCAGTTTGTCGAGGCTGCTTATAACGCGATCCGAATACGAAAGCAAAAAGACTGGACGTTCACGAATGGTTTGGGATTTACTTTTCCTGCTCTTACAACAGTTGGTAAGAAATGAAAGTTAAGAMGARAAGATATATGCATACTTTTTRAATATTTTTAACAAAGTTTCTACTWATTCATTAGGGTTTGGCGATGTTACACCCAAAACAGCTCTTGGCCAAGGTCTTACCATTCCCTACTGTTTRGTTGGTCTGCCACTAACAATGCTGGCTYTAAAGACATCAGGGGAAGTCGTTCTACTRGCTCTGMGATCTGCAGCAAGTAGCTTTGAGAAGAAAGTTCTCGGACGTCAAAATCCAAGAATTGGCTTTGTGAAATTATTTTGGACGATAATCATTTGCCAAGCACTCATAATCTGYATGTTTGCTCTTGTTGAGACCTACACCGACGACTGGACTTTCCTGGAAGGAGTGTACTGCTGGTTTATCACATTCACGACTATCGGTTTTGGAGATTACGTTCCTTTTARTAACTACATGGCTTTAGCGCAAAAGGAGTCCAARTTATGGATCTTCCATGTTGTAGGATGGTTTGTGACCATTCCTTATATTATTGGCCTTGTTTTACTGTCTTCTATGCTGAACTTACTTGTGGAAAGTTCAGAAAASATTAAGATGCAATGGAGAATGACATTCCATTGTTCTGCAAGCAAGCGGAGTGATGTAAATGCTAACAATGATGAAACGGRTAATACTGTCGTGGAAGGAAATGAACCCGTTTGYCTTAATGACAMCAGACATTGAAATTTTATATTTTTTGAATTTCAACAAAACGAAGTTTCACAAGATGTRGAAATGCGTCATATGCTGCATACGCAATGCATTGTAGGATGTAGGGACAAAACATTGCTGATTTTTTGTTTGTTTCAGAAACTGATCCCACAGTGCATTGCAAATCACGTAGGTGACGTAATAAAAGTGTATTGAAATGCCATATTCATAGAACACTATGTAACGAAAAGCAATGGAAAGATCATGTTGACGGTTGTTTAGTAAGGCTATAGCATTTATCTACGGTGGCAAAGTCAACATGTTAAAAACGCACGGCTAAAAGTAGAATAGCATTGAAACATAACTTTATCTCATGGCTCTMTTGGGCTTTAATGCACTGCCTTGTCTTCTAGTCAGATGACGTAGCAGTGGCATTAAATGTAAGGGCCCTATTAAACATCAGAAASGCAAACGCCAAATAGACTCAGAAATTTAAWAGTAGTGACTGAGAAATCCATTGTACGACTGTTGTCAGTGACAAGGGTGTCATCATCAAATCACTGCACATCGTCATTTCTAATCAGCGGTTATCAAGGACCGTGATCTGTAGTGGCATCACTAAGAAGGGTCAAGAAGGTTTTTCTTGTAGAGGGAACTATCATTTGATCTTTTCTCTATCGCTTTTTATACTTCAATTCAATATTCCACCTTTAAAAAGTACAAAATCCAGTAGTATTTGGATAATAATGATTAAAGAGATATGCTACATACCTGTTTTTAACTTTAAATCTCTGAATTATTGTTTAATATGAGGTTTACCGCTGACCAGTGGGTTGACTGATCTTTAGAAATCCTTTAATCCTAAGACGACTTTAGCAGTTTTATCCAGCAGTATGTGGGTCTACACATATTCTTTAGTTATTTTTTCAGGATTTCAGGGTCCCGTTTATATATTGGGCTGGGAACACTTATGGCTATCAACGGCGCTCATTTTTTTAGTTTTTTTTTTTCTATTCACGGCAACGCACGCGTAAAAAAATTCTTATCAAAATTGAAATGCCTTTTTTTAGATTTACACAGTTTGCAAAATATCAGGGGATAAAAAATCTCATCTCGAGAATGGGAATAGGCAGGCTAATAGTTAGAGTTTCCAAATTACCACGTTATAATTTTCTTTTAATTTAGCGTTGGTGTCAGCCCACGCGCACGTACAAATTGTGCACGTGACTCAATCCATATATGAATTTTATATTTCGATGCACCTTTAGCCGTCCACAAATTAAGACGCTCAAAAATAGTTCCTCATTTTTCAACCATCGGGATTGCAAACAACAGTCCCATCTTGTATAGAAAGCAGAAATCCGGTGTAATATTGATGAATATATTGTTGTACAATGAAATCGTCTCACCAACATTCATTGTGTATACCTAAAAAATGTTATTGAATTCTTTCAATTCAGGATTATCGAAGCGATAATTACTTTGAATTTTGACTGTGCGYAATRCATTATTGWTGAGTGCACTGRCTCAMTTTACTCGGACGCTGTCGTTATGTCAAGATCATGACCATGCATTATGTCTGATCGGGAAGCAATGAAAACTAGAACTCTCCTTAGAAATTGGTCGTTGCAGTTCAGTTTGTTCCTCATCTACGCTATGTTGGGAAGTTTAATGTTCTATAGAGTGGAAAGAAGAAACGAGACGTATGCTGCTACCGCCAACCGGTAAGAAGTCCGAGTAAACATTATGTTATACAGTCTTGTCCAACTTTGGCTCAAGGATAATGCTTTGCATGAGAAACACCAACAACACATGTTCCATTAACTGTTTACAGAAAGGAAAAATAAATAAAAAATAGAAGCATGCAGCAATACAACTYAGTCGTTTCCTGTGATTTCTATTTTGACAGCTGGCAAAATAGTAGTCGGCTTTTCTGAACTTTTTTTGAAAACTTTGTCAGTTGTCAACCGAACGATTCGTAAAGYCTATACATGTGATTCATCCGCAAATCTGTTGCGCACGAAACATATTCACTTCTTCTATACATAGCTAGTTCTCGAATGGCGCTGTAGTCTAGCAATCTTAAAGAAGCAAATTTTTGTTGACAAGAGATTGCTAGAGAAAAAGTTGTCCTTTTAAATGATCACCGACATTTCATTATTTACTTTATTTGTTTAACAGACTCAATATAATGTTCCTTGACTCATTTTTAGGCACAATTTTATAGTTTTTTCATCCATTTGTTATATTCATAACAATTTTTCATGGCAATACTCCATCTAAACGAGCCGTAATATTCACTTGTCAAGGGAAATGTGCTCGTAGAGTTWAACAAACAGAATCGTGGAATCCAATTGTCAATGAATCACGTCGATATCAATGAAACAATCGTAGTTTACACGAGTCCTCATATAATATTTTAAGGTCTTATTGTTTGATGAAATTTCCTGGGCAACCAGCCATACTGGTATCGACAAATCCGTTCAGATTTGACGAGAAATTGTTGTCAAACATAATGGACAAAGTTTTGTAAAGTTGCTTTAACAGTTCTTGAATCGGATAAAAACAAAAACCAGTACATGAGCTTCCTCCAATAAATTTCACGATTTCTAGCAGGGAACAGTTCAGTTTTCTCATCATCCTCTTCAATGAAGTTATTAACACCCATATTGAATTGTTTTCACAGATTATTTGTAAAGTTGAAAGCAGAAATGTCAAAAAGGTACAATTTGACGAACTTAACAGACTCGGATTTCTACGATTTTGTTGTCGCAGCACACGAGATTGTCCAAACAGGAAAACAAAGGGACTGGACATTTGGTAGTGGATGTGATTTCACGTTCGCGGCATTATCCACAATAGGTAATAAAAAACTCAGTGGAAAATACAGTGACCCACCGCATTCACTAGAATAACTTACAAAGATGTTAAGATGACATAAGACATGATTTCAATTAATATAATAATCTAAATTTCGAACGGTACCGCGACAATAAGGATAAGAAGTAAGCTATTCATAAAGATTGCTGGTTGAATTTTTTGTTAAGAAAAAAAAAACATTTTTACTAATACGGTCGCCATCTTGAATTTTGAAGAAATTATGGGATGTCCAGGGKGCAAAAGCACACATTGTCATATAGAATGATACCGAAAAATTTCTTTCCTTGATAATTTTTGGTTCAGTAGAGTTTAAATTAGTTCTTCAAAACATTCTAATGTGTCATATTTTTAATTGCYTTCCACGCTTTCTGAAGATACAATATTAAATCTCATAGCTGATAAAGCCKTACAATCTAAAACTTTCTTGTTTATATAGTGTACCCTTGGCATTCAATAGTTTGTCAGTGCTAAACCGATGTATACAATTCAAGATGGCGGTGGTCTACTGCCCGCAGTATGCGAAGCTGAAAGAGCAATTCTTGTTAATCTCAGCAATTCGATGCAATTTTTCTTTTTCTTTTTCTTTTTTTAATTGGACAGTTAGCAATATGTGGATATATAATTGATAGGTGATAGGAATCCATACTGTCCAATTAAAAAATAATTAAAAATCGAAAAAAAATCCTCCGACTGCCAAATTGGACACGGCCTAACATGGCCTAAGGTCTCGTCCAGTTTTGACATTCCTCAAAATTTTCCTCGTCCAATTATATATTCATGGAGTCCTAACCTATAATAATTTGCATTTAATTTCAGGGTATGGAGATATTGCACCCAAGACAGCTCTTGGCCAAGGCCTGACCATTCCCTATTGTTTGGTTGGTCTGCCAGTAACTATGCTGTCAATAAAGACATCTGGAGAAGTGATTCTTCTATCACTACGAGCTGCGGCTACTATGTTTGAAAMAATAATTCTCGGGCGTCAAAATCCAAAYATCGGGTTTACCAAATTGTTTTTGATGRTAATCRCTTGTCAAGTTACACTCGTGTGCTCAATGGCGTATCTTGAGATGTACACCGATGGCTGGACCTTCCTGGAAGGCGTTTATTGCTGGTTTATAACATTCACAACTATAGGCTTTGGAGATTATATTCCGTTTAGCACYTCTCGATTCCCAGTCAACATGAATCCCTGGTTAMTCAATTTTATCGAATTGCTGATGACTTTTCCGTATACATTAGGCCTCTGYCTAATTTCTTCATTGCTGAACTTGCTCGTGGAAAACTCAGAGAAAATCAAATTCAGTTGTAGTATAATGAACTTCTGTAGAAACAGAGTGGAAGCTAAAGATCGAAAATCTGATATTCTAAACGAAGAGGCAGAAGTGCATGGAATTCGCCTTGAAAACTATACCTTTGCTTCAACTTCCACCGAAGGACAAATCTGATGGGAATGGAGGACTATACTCCGAGAACCAAAGTCACCGTAATTTTGAGCTTTTTTTGCGCGAATTTGTTTCAACAAAACATAGTTAGTAGCTATAACTATGAGCAAAAGCACTAAAACCACTTAAAATTAATCAAGCAAATAGTCTCCTTCACGGTTACCTGCGCCATCTTGAAAGATAGCCGTGCCTTTGCATAGTCCATATCGCAACCCGCGGAAAGCCTTGTGACGCAGTGCATTTTGGGATTGATAAATGAGTAAACAAGTGAACAACGATGTCAGTGCTCCAGTTGTCTGTAACGTAGACTCAGTTTTCAAAAAAATATTGGGAAATATTGATATTGTAGCTAATCTCAGAAGCGAAGAAACAAACAAATATCAACATGCAAGGAAATACAGCACTGAAAAACCTCCAAAAAATGTACAGTGCCGTACGGTTAATAAAGAATTTCCATTTACTAGGCAAATCAAGCAAAAATGAAAACAAAGCATATGTTGTCCGTGGAAAAGTCGAAACTAATTAGTGTTTTTTTCTATTTTAGCGATTTGGTTTGATGAAGAAAGGAAGATATATATCCCATGATACATTGCAAAACCATTCAAAATGGCGGGCTTGTGATATGGAATATGGCAAGCGAGACAACCGTTGAGCGTGCAATGATAGATACCTGTGTGGATAATTGTCTGTAGGTGTGAAAGAAGGTAGCACGGCTACCTTTCAAGATGGCGCAGGGAACCGTGAAGAAGACTATTGCGGAGATCAGTTTTACCGTGACTCAGAGTAATCACTGTAACTTTGAGTCGACTTTATGCGATCTATAATATCACGGTTTTACAGCAAACACTGCACTATAGCTTTTAAAGTCCTTCGCAGGCGTTTCTCTTCGTTTCCTCTCTTATTTCTACTCTTGGGATCCCTGTCTTCCTCAATTTGACCGAGGAAGACTGTGACCCGGCAGAAAAATAAAAGAGAATTTCTTAGTGGTGCTCAACCTATGGGTTAACCCTGGATTAATGCTAATCAGGCTTTGAACAACYCGGCTCTGTCTGCGGAGGAGGCTAAGAATAATGTCAGTGAGTATTAAAAATGAAAGTGGAAATGACACGCTTTGAACAAACGACTTTTAAGATAAAGTCATTCAAATGAGAGTCACAGACAGGCATATGATTGTACAGCGTAATTACGGGTACAATTAGACATCTTTCATCGACACCTTGCACGAAGGTCGAAGCAACTGGAAGATTGATTTTCGTTTGCGCAAGTTATATCTTCATTAAAGACAAAATAAATATCGATCCGTTTTCTTATTTCGCTTGCCTAATGTATGCATGTTGTCATAGAAAGCCTTATATAAGTAAACACCATACACTAAAAAATTTAAAATTTAATTGAGTAAAAATGAAAAAGAAATTGGATTTAATTTGCTTGATAAAGTTGTCTATCTTAATCTCGCTATACYTAAATGCGTTGCAGTTAGTTTCATGCGCCGTCTGTTGGCTCGTGTTTTCGTTTCAAATATTCTTGGAATTGATCTCTCTTTGTGGCTTCCTAAAACTTCATAAACTAGAGGGCGTTATTATACAATGCGGACTATCGCGCTTAACCGGGCTGTTTTCTTCAGTGTTATTTACCTCAGTAGGGAAGAGATCAAAACAAAGAATCCAGTCTGGTCAAAGTGGTCAACCATCGCCAGCTCGCTTTACATAATCAGTGAGGTCCTATGTATAGGTCCTTACTGCTCACCTTAACAAAAACTTGCAGCTGTAAAACATGGTCACTAGCTCCATCTTAATGGATATATATTACCTTTTTAGCAGCATGGCTGCTATTTTTGATAGGCTAAACTGAAAAATCAGCAAACTTTTTAATCTGTTGCTCGCCATGTGAAAATTAKTATCTTTGATCGTGACGAAATTTTAATTATTACTCAAAAACATCCAATATGCATTCGRTATTTGTCAGYTTTATACCGAACCATTAACATATCTTTTYATAAAAAAATRTCGTAGCTAAACAGCACCGAAACTCTTCGATAAATGGTCCTCAGAMAATCTTGAAAAGTCAAGATGGCGGCTTTGTCATTCTCACTCTAAATACACACTAATTACTCTGAAAATTGACTGGGCATTAATTATTAAGATAAAATCTCTTTAAAGGATTTCATAGAGAGAAGTAAAGTGAAGATCTAGCATACATTAAAACAGTTACAATGAAACCTCTTTACAAAAAGTGTATGCTTCGGCTCGGTATGTTTATAATCTACGGAACATTTGGAGGCTGGATATTTWCCTCGATAGAAAGAAGAAGCGAGCCGAACGCCACCACCGCAAGCAGGTGACAATTTGTAACGAAAACTTTGGAATCATTTTTACTTTTATAACTACTAGTTATTGTATATAGAAAATGTATGTCTTAGTAATTATTTTGTCTTTGAATAACGCAAGTTGCCGGTGCAGTTTTCTTTTCGATTAATGCTTGGATATAGTTTAAAAAATACTGCAAACATTTTGTCAATATTTTTCATGTTTACAGAACCTGTTTATATGAAATTCGCTGATCACCCGGTGGAGTTAAGTTAACATTCAGATTAGAATACAAAACTTTGAGCCAATTTTTATTCACTTAGACGTGAAAAAACTTTGCATACAAACGGAACAGGTTGAAATCGATATATAGCGTGTTAAAATGCCATGTCTAAAATATCAACCCAAAACTTTATGATTATTAATATAATTTAAGTAAAAATCATTGGTAAATGAAAAGTCTTTAAGTATTAATGTCAAATATCTGTCTTAAGATATTAATTTTGTACTGAATATTTTTATAAAAACGTTTCCATGTATCCTTGTGTGACTTCGTGTTTGTAGTTTTAAAAATGTACTTTCAACGTGGATTGCTGAATTATCCCATAAGTTTATTTTCCGTTTTTATGCCGATTTCTGACTGCTTTAAAAGCATACGTCTTTCATTTGTTTTAAAAACATTTTGAATAAATAAACGTACTCTATATCAAGTCATCACTTTAAATTCTTATTTAAATATACTTTCTTTATTTTGGCGATATTCCAAACACATCGCGTAGTAACAGTATTGCCGGATGAATTTCATTGCAAATGATTACTATTTATACAGCTGAAATCTGTTTGYGTGTTTAGCGTTTCGTTGTGTGTTTATGCATTATTAATTGCACTTTATATTTAGKCTTTTCATAGTGAATAAGCTCAAATTCTCAGCTCCTTACCGAACAGACCTGAGATATCTGGTTTCTATCTTTTTTTTGTGAAAGGTTTTTCGAATACTTCATGCTAAATGATGATGCATTGAAACATGTTGAAAATAACGCTGCTCAAGTTTAAATATTAGAGGTTTAATTGCATCAAATCCAAATATTATATTAAGTATGTTTGATATTCACCTTGGAAACTTGCGCTAAATTCATGAATTTCCAACAAAGCGTTTTTTGTTACTATATTTGTTATATATTGTTCTTCTAAAATGAAAGTAAAGCTTGATTAAGTGCTTACATTAATTTCTATTCTGCACAGGTCTCTTTTTAAACTAAAAGCAACAATGAAAGAAAAGTACAATTTTACGAACATTACTGATTCAGATTTCCACGATTTTGTTGACGCTGCTTATAAAGCGATTCGCACACAAAAGGAGAAGGACTGGACGTTTAACAATGGCGCTTCATTCGCGTTTGTTGTTTTGACAACTGTAGGTAAGAAATACTAAGAATTATAGCTTGCTTTGAGCTTTTGTTGTTACTGCTGTTGCTGTTGTTGTTGTTGCATTGCGATGTTATGATATGTTGAGATGTAGATCTTAGTGATGACATTGGATTTTTTATTGATCAGGCAGCCTAACCTAAATAATTATTCAAAAACAGGTTATGGTGATATTACGCCCAAAACAGCTCTTGGCCAAGGAATTACCATTCTCTATTGCTTGTTTGGTCTGCCACTAACAATGCTGGCTCTAAAGTCATCAGGCGAGGTCATTCTTCTAGCTTTACGATCGGCCACAAATTGCTTGGAAAAGAAACTCCTCGGACATCAAAATCCAGAAATGGATTTTATAAAATTGCTTGTAACAATAATCTTTTGTCAAGTTTCTTTGATTTGTATATTTGCTGCTGTTCAGATGAAMACCGACGGTTGGACGTTCCTTGAAGGAGTTTACTGTTGGTTCATCTCTTTTACGACCATCGGATTCGGAGACTACGTTCCTTTTAGTSAATATGAAGGAAAAAAGAAATCACAAGYGGTGAGCAAGTTTGCTGCAATATTTGTGACTTTTCCGTACATCATTGGCCTTTGTTTGYTTGCTTCATTGCTGAATCTGATTGTTGATAATTCCGAGCAGATGAAGCGACGTTGTGGTGCTTGGTGTTGTTCTTATTGTGATTGCGAAAATGGCGTGGATCCACATGAAGGCAGCAATTCAAATAGACCAAACGAYGAAGCACAAGATAATAACGTTCATCTTCAAAGCTTTACTAAAACTGCTGCATAATTACTACAAGAAAATGTCTGGATATATTTGAATATCTTCTGAAGTACCTATTTGATCTTTACGAAAAGGAAGCAATAGAAAGGAAGGATTCCTTCCTCTCTTTTCCTCTTCTTCTCGTTATAATACCTAGGCCTAGTCCGGGACCTAAAATCGCCGTAAGTTTGGGCGATTGTAGGCGATTTTAAGCGATTTTAGGCGATTAAGCAAAAATCACTAAAAACCCATCTAAATCTAAGGCGATTTACTGCGATTTTGGGCGATTTTAGGCGATTTTTAGGCGATTTTAGGCAATTTTAGGTCCCGTACTAGGCCTAACACCTTAATCTTCGCCTCTTCCGCCCGGGCTTAGCTTCCTACCAAGGCAACTGATTTTTTCCTCTTCGGGGCTTTGTAACGGTTATATTGACTATTTTCTGACTCTCAGCAAAAAGACAGGAAGCCCGTGACTCTTAGTGATGCCTTTGGAGAAGGCGAATCCAAGCGATAAATTTGCAGAATAGATGAAGTTCACTCCCGTCACATATAGAATGCTTTTAATAAAAGTCGTGTCTCGTTATTGGTTCTTTTTGATTTGTATATATGTTTCGTAATTTWAGCTGTTTGGCGTTGATTATATATCTGTAATAAATTCACGAGACCATTATCAGAGGAGAAATAACGCGAGGCATTATATAACAGTCCAATTAAAACGGCGAATCTCAACTGCGCATGCAAGTGTTTGACTTCACTTGACTTCGGGACGAGTAAGATCGGGTGTTTAACGCATCGGGCTCAAAAAGCACTTAACAGAAAAACAAACAATATATGTAGATGCAGTTCATAGWAACCACTAACGAGGAAGCCTAATTAAAGTCGATAGATCGCCCTTGTTATAGTCTTGTTAATAATTAATGAAATTACATTAGAATTTGAATACATGTGGAATATAATAGTTCCTTAGTAATCAGGTAACATACACTAAGAACGAAGCATAATAACATGCATCCATATACAAAAGTGTTTTTTGGTCGCTTGTTGGCTTTCTTCATCTTTCTGTATGGTGGAGCTGCCATCTTTTTGTTGATTGAGAAAGGGGAAGAAACGGAGCATCCCATTATTGGGATACAKCGAATTTACACCGAAATGAACCTKACCAACCAAAGTGTGATTCAGGAAAGAGACTTTTTCGAAGTTGTATACAAAGCTTCAAATTTAGTGTGCAAGAAACAACGACCAGGATGGAGTTACTTGGATTGCCTCAACTACGGCATCCACATTATGACGACGATTGGTAAGTATAARCCCTCTGAGTTCAGTATTGGTGCTTTCTTTTCTTRGAGTTAYGCACAGATATTCAYCAAATCTCAACATGCGTAAAGTGATTCAATATCATATCAAGTATTACAGCTATTTAAGATGTTCAGTCAATAAAATCTTCACATCTATAGCCCCAGGAAGCCACTGGGTTCGTGGTGGGTTTGAATTATTTTCATACAGTGAAGTCATTGGCTTTCTAACACATCAAATATGCCGAGAATAACTGAGAACCGAGCAAGCTGCACTACAGTACTAGTAACAGCTCAAATATGGTCATGTTTTCATGTTTWTTTGACTTAGCTTTTATTTTTCTTATCTCCAAAGGTTTACTTTAATTTCGTTTTTTTTTAGTTTAATCGTAGTTAATATWCTTTTATCAGTGTGAAATATTTTGACTCTTTTTTTAACGTTTAAGGTTCTTTTCAAGCTGCCATATTTCCACTACGCAATAATGAGTCGCAATAAAGCATTTTGTTTCAATTATCAAATGTCGATAATACTCTATAACTTCCTCAATTTGCAAATATATTTGGCGTTTTAAAGATAATAAGCTCATTGTTTATGAACGTTTATTTCTTTGTCAATATTTTCATTTTTCTGCAATAAACCATTTTTAGCAAGTTGAATATATTATTCGTTATATCTTGCTAGTTTTGAATAACCGGTAAAAAAGGTGTTAGTCAGAAAAAAACACTTTACAACAAACGCCAACACCTATTTTCAAGGATTCATAAACCATTTAAWTTGGGGCAACTCATATTTTGGAAGAGCTATTCTGTATTTAGTGAATTGTATGGAATCATTTTTGACAAGACGTGGTCTTCGTTAATGCTTGTTGTGCCACTAAGTGACTAGRTTTATAAAAACGAATATACGAATCCTTTTTATGGTACCGAATGGAAATTTGAAAAATATTTAATTACAAGAGGAATAAAATGTTAATACTGCAGGAATAACGGCTAGTTTCKCCTTCAATTGGGGCTAATTGCGTAGACGCCGTGCAGAAACTCAGCTGCAAAYATTTCGTCCAAAGGTGTTAGTATTAGTAACCATAGCAATTTGTTATCCTCAATACTTGCCCTCGGCAATGGATGAATAGCTAAAAACAACATGCCTTTTTACTCATTTCCGACAAGAATAATTTAGTCAATTCTATATTCACACAGAAATGTTATTGGAACTTAGAGACGGCAACTAAGCGTTGCGAGAAATATATTGAWTATATTGTTGCGAAAATCATTTTTATAGGTATTAACTTTTAATTCGCCGTATCCATTCTAATTTCGATTCTTCATCAAAACATGCTGAGCGTTTTCCTATAATGTATCAGAGGTATTAACAACCATTGACATCAAAGTTAACATCTGCAAGTATTATGTCATTATTTAATTTTTTCTTCAAGCTAGAGACACCTCATTTTCTTTATCGAACAGTATTCATATTGAAGTGTTTCAAGAATGTATTATTAAAGATGGGAGATTTTAAACAAACTATAAAATTGAAAAGTTAAACATTCATGTCATCTTCTAGCCAAACTCATGCTGTGACGATTATCTGAATTACTATCGCATGCAAATTTAAAAATATATAAAGATAGTTTTTTGTCTTGAATAGTCAAAATGTAAAACGACCTCAATGTTATGTCTATAATTTTCGTTTCCAGGTTATGGAACCATTACACCTAACACWCAACTCGGCCAAGTGGTGACCATTATCTATGCTCTCATTGGAATACCGCTGACCTTACTCACAATGCGGGCGATGGCTTATAATTACAACCAGTTGATTCGMAAAATTCTTTCTAAATGCTTCACTAAAGACCGTGAAAAGGATATGGAGCTRAAAGTTGTGATTGTGAATATGTTAGTGACTGTGCTGTATGTGCTTATATCAGCAGTGGTTTCCATGGGTGTTGATGGATATAATTACATCCAAGGTGTTTATGTTTGGTTCATCACTATCACCACAGTAGGSCTGGGTGATTTTGTACCCAAAAATAGTCATGCCGACCAGGCTTACAATCTCCTGATTGGTCTCTGCTTCATGTCAGGAACAATCGACGCAATGGTAACRTATTTTGATTCAAATAAAGAAAAAGATTCATCGTTAAGGAGAAGACTCTTCAAGTGTTGTCTGTGTTGCGGAACCAGGAAATTAGACTTCCAACAGGAAGATAATGTAGAAATGGAAAACGTTGACGGCCCCAAAGACGTTGGWACGCAGACAGATGAGTTCAGTAACTATGGTTTTCAAAACAGTGCTTTCAATGTTATAGGACATTAAAYTAACAAACTACAGCAGCTCCAATCGAGAGAGGTTTTGAACTGTTACTGCTCACATGAAACTTATTACTGTGTCATGCGCTTGGATTCGGATTAAAATGATATAAAAAGAAGGGATGTAGGAGTCCATGCTTGTGAGAAAGGATTGCACTTAGCAAACATTAAGATTGTATTTTTTATATTTAATGTGTAAATGAATTCTGTTGTACGTTTCTAATAGTCCAAGTACACCTAAGAACCTTTGCCCTATTTTCTCACATACGAAAAAAATTCGCCATCTTTGCTTTTTGAACCAATAAGAAAGCAACTTTCAACAAGACATCACTTTGTATAACAAAGCCCAAACGATCGTAGGCCTTTTAAAGAATGTAAGTTGTGAGATTTGACGACCTGGTAGCTAAATTTCCATGGCAACTATGACGACGAGGTTACTATAGCAATTTCTGCGACTACACAGCACTTGAGTGAGTAATCAAAGCCTTACTAAYGTGAGTCTCCTGCAAAGCACTATGGATAATTTTAGTCCTTTCATCGTAGCACAAAATGTATACTGCGCATGCGATGATTAATATTAATGTAAATAGGCCTCCAGCAGCGATGATTGACAGGACTTTTGCAGACATTTGTCCCAATGGTTCAAGGGATTTGGGTAWTATATCGTCATTTCTTGTTCTTTGTTGGTTCTTCTGTCGAAATGATTTTCTTGTGTGAAGAAATTTCCAGYGTTTACCTGCGTGAAGACAAGACTGAGTATCTTATTGCGAAGACGACGGAATGTAGGTTATTTACATATCAATATTAATTATATCAATTATATATATAACAAGAAAACAAGCCGTTKGCATGTATATATTGGAATAATAAATCACTACTAAAACTCATCAAATTCCATGATGTAGCAAGGAGTTTTCAATGTGATGGACTATATTTTCTTTTTTTATGAATTTGTAAAACGTGATGTCACTAGATACTAATTAATAAAACTTGGACATTGTGCTCCAGTGATAACGGTATAGAAGTCATAGAAATCAGTTCCTAGACGAGTTACATTGATCGATTCATTACAGGATTAATTGGGGATGAGATTTGGACAACATGATTTGCGATTTATGTTGTCTCTCATTCCAGAGTTTTCAAAGTGGTAGTGACGTCAAGCCGAACGACAGACCGAGAGCCTGGGAACGTGGCTGCGATCGATGCTAGCTTTCAGTTTGTTAACTGGACGGTAGGGTGAGACATTTTCAAGGTTTTCGAAGCTATAACAGTACTCACCTCTATAGTGGAGTTTATTACATAACCGTCTATAACAGCATGCTAGAAGATAAGGTTTAGATTTGAACACTTTTGACCTCTCTCGTCTCTCACAGAGACTTTTATGATGTACTTTGTGTATACAACCATATGCTGCAGTCTCATTGGACATCTCTGCGTAACATGCATAACTGGCAATGCATGTCGATGAGTTCCTTTGTGCACAGGCATTAGTATTGCAGAAGCATTTTATGCTTGCTGGAAGATAAAAAAGCTTTTGATAAGCTACWTAAATTTCGCTCCTCTGATCTTATTCAGCATATTTGAAAGACATAAAAATTTTCTCTAAAAGTCAAATGTGCAGTTTAATGAATGGCATTTTAGGGCTGGAAAATGCAATTTTATAGAAGACGTTTTTTGAAAACGGACAAAAAAACTCATCAAAAATTAACYKTACACGTATTTTATCATTTCACATCCGCCGCAAAAGTAAAAATTAAAAAGTKAAAATGGCCSACCAATAGTTTAGGYCGGCCATYTCGGCTATTTGACTTTTGTTTCAAATTAATGACAGAACAGCGCATTTAGTAGACTAGAAACATCTATTTCTCTACGAATTAGCATTTTATAACAAACGTATTGTGTATTTCGTTGTTTTATARCAAGTGAACTGAAAAACAGCTGGCGCCATCTTGGATTTTTCCGACTTAATTTATTAACATCAATTTTGCCTCAAAACATTCTTTCAATTTGTACAAATCATTAACGAGCTTGTTCTCTTTATTTGGCTGTATTTGATCGCCGCCATTTTGTCTCGGGTTTCATTATTGCCTTAAAGGCACACTGACAAATGTGGCTTTGTACCTCGTCGATATGATTAAGTTCTTATTTTTCTCTCTATACGACAGCTATTTTCAAATACAATTTATACTAATAAAGATAAAATCATTTGTACTATTATATTTTCTATATACTTCTTAGGAAAATGTGCTCAAAGAGTCGAGTCTTTATTTGCGACATTTTCTTTGGTCGAATTTAACCATTTTCAAGACGCTTTGATTTGGGCGTTTTAAGCTGTTTCAATTCAAACATGGCACTGAGATCTAAGAAATTTACTTAAAGATTGTTTCAATATTTGTCACTGATTTGTAATCTTGAAGGTTTATCAAAAGGGGAAGTAAAATCAATAAAACCACACTGACGATAAGTGTTACAAAGGCTTCGCCAGACAAAATGGCGGCAAACAATCAKGTCTTGACCGCACGGACGCTCTTAGGGAAAGCTGGTTCGTGAATTTTTGATGTTTTCATAAGTTTTTCTGTTCTCAGAATTACTGAGGGATTTTTTTCGGTATGATTCAGAGATTATCAAACTTTGGACCCAAACTTGCATTCGTTTTTAATGGACTAAAAAAGTTTTCTATACCGTTCAAAGTGTTTCCTTTAATTTTTAAGTAACAAAGAGAAAACGGTCACCAACAGCGAAAATGTTAAACATAACAGGAAACTCTCAACAAATAAACACCATACCAAAATAGTTTTTGTTTAGATATTTCAGCAGAAAAGAACTTTGAGAACTCCAATTATTCTGCKTTTTATCGAGAAAAGGTCAATGACTTACTGAAATAATACTTATTTTGACTGAAACCCGAAACAGTGTTTATCAACATTTATAGTAATGCCATTTTTTACGCTCTCAAATGTGCAGTAAAAGGCATTAAAAATGATATCATTTAGCGAGTAACAGTCTTGATTGGGTCAGTCTTGTCTAGATCGTTGAATATTGTGCGTTTCGTCTTTCTCTTTTTTATCCAATGCGATAGTTTTTTTCCTAGMTTGCTTTTGTATTTTATAGTTTTTTTTATTAATGTAAGTCCTCGCCCAGTTTAGTTTTGACAGAAACTGCTTCAAAGTTCTTAAGTCAGTTGCGGTTTTCCTAAATTTCAGTTTTCTCCGCTTTTCATGATCAACAACTAACCCTGCTTATCACAAAACAAGAAAAACAAATAATATCTCAACTGCGGCGTCGTGGTTCCACATGAATCTCTCCAATACTATACTAGTATTAATACATGATTAGTACTCTCGACATTTGGACTTAACTAATGACAAAAACTTTGATTACAAAAGTTTTTTATCGGTTCATAAACGCTAACTGTCAACACCAACAAACTTGATAAGTAAATGGAAGGAAACAGAGGCTTAGGCGGGTTTCAATGAATCCTGCTGCTCCGGAGTTTTGCAATTCACTTTAGCGGGCTAACYCGTTGACCCTACTGCTTTAAGCTCTACAAGTGTGCCGTTTCCTAAAAGGTTATTAGAGCAGGAATTCGGAATAAACTGCACTGAGTAAACTTTGAGTTAAAGAAGCTTGAGTGTCCAATGGCTTTGGGTGAAAGCAACACATGTTAGTAGCGCGTTTAAGATCGAAGACTAAAAAGAAGATAAGAAAACCCTTGGTTTTTGTRATGGCTGGCAATTYAAAGCATTAAATCTAGTAGTTATAGCACTGACGAGTAGACTAATTAACTCGACCAGATCAATGACACASTGATTTGAAAATGAAGTATCCAGAAAGCAGGGTTATATTTTTGTTKTAGCATAACGGCATTGGATTATTAGCGTGCCGATCGTGTCTTCAGCAATGAACCATTGAAGACCAATATTAAAGCACACTTTAGGCACTAAAACATAGGGACAAGATGTCTCAAGATTAGCTCTGGAAATTGGCTCTMAMACACGCAGTTGTATTTCAATGCACAAGGACTAGCTTTTTATTCACTTGTAGAATTTTCTCAATGAAGTTTTTGGCGATGTATTTAAAGAACTATAGTAGATTTGCCAATGAAAAGCAAATCAGAGATCAGAAGAAAATTATGTCAACAGATCAAGCGACAAGTCAGTGTTCTTGTGGATAATAACTGAAAACTCGTACTATCAGCAATAAAGAAAGCACAGCACAGCAATGATTTCAATAAATATTTCCGCTCAGACRCTAACTTCCTTTCCGACCTCAAAYGCAYATCCATTTATAATGCCTCTTCTTCGCATTCTTTTTTTACAATTTGAAAATCGAAGTGTGTTCATGATTGCGCTTTCAAACTTCACTTTTGAACAGAAATCTAACTTATGAAACAAGATCAGTCATATATAAATCTTCTCTTACAGTTTTTTTGGGTATATAGGACTCGTTTTCTTCTTACTAAACCAAAACACTTAGATGAGGGCTCAATTCTTCAATTCTTAACTTACGCGACGACTAGAGGAGCCTTACTAGTATGTATAACAATTTGCGAAATTGATGTTTCTACTTATTGTAGCATACAGCAAGCTAATAGCGGTGTTTAGACAGAATTGAGTGCTGTGTAAGTCATGCAGCCATGCATACCTTCAATTACAACTGCCCCATGATACACCATCACAAGAAAGGCAACCAGGCCATGTCTGCAACTCAAGAACATGTTTAGAGTGACCCACAACGGACTCGAAAGCGGTCTGGTTAGAGCAGCAAGCACAACGTCTTTAGGTCCTCGTCTTGCCAAGTGGTTCACGAGTCTATAAATACTCAGTGTTGATGTTTCTACTGATATTAGATCACTAAACCATGCAGGTGAATGGAACCCCCCGCTAAGCAACCATTTTGCTGCTGTATTTTGTCTAGAAACATGATCTGTTTTCTAGAATCTTAAAACAWCTCTRAAAAGTTCAAAACGGCGCTTATTTACCATGAAACATCAAACAGTTTATGASTTCARCRAGTCAAGGTAGCGTGGCACCTTTATTAAGGGATTCAAGCAGCCTCGGGGCTTTTACCTTGAACCCCCGCGTGCAAATGTAATTGGTCCTTTGTTAGTGATCTCCATGAAACATGTAGTGGCTATCATGGCGACCATGTGGAAAAGGCAGCACCGTGTTTCTATAGTAACAAGGAAAATGTACGAAATGTATTCAGGACTAGGAGGTCAAACTTGTAATTAGACCGCTGAAGCTTTTACGTCATATACCGTATACGCAATGCATTATAGGATATGTTGGAGACAAAAGATGGTGGATTTCTTTTTTTTTTTTGTAACAAAAAAAATTATCCCACAATGCACTGTAAATCACGCAAAGGACATAAAAGCTTCAGATATCTATTGGCTAATTTAGTTATACCTTGATATCAGCTGATGCAGGTTGCTATTGAACCAAAAAGTCATTAATCAGCTACCGCGCATGTTCGGTAAAATACCCATACCTTTCGCAAAGTATATGGTGATATTYGAACAGTGACGTGTTTGTAGTTCGAAATCATATTATCGATTGGAAACTAAGCAARTTTGAAAAGAAAAATACGTTTTTTTACAATGATGCATGTTCGACCTTGCAACATTAGTCATTTGTCATGGATCATTTATGATGCACATTGCATGAATATTCTTTAGCTAAAGTCTACCAGTCGTACGAACCGCTCTTTTTGAATATTAGTTTTCATTTATTAACGTTTTACTGAAGCCATCCAAGCTCACTACATCTCATTTTGATGTTGATTAACATTAATTCTGGCGATGGATCAAGTCATTTGTTTATTAATTGTGTAGCGAAGATCGGTTGTCAACCGTAAAACCGCGAATATCCGCTTGTGT